ACACACACACACACACACACACACACACACACACACACACACACACAGAGAGAGCCTGAAGAGAGAATAAGAAACAGGCATCTCAGACACAAGTCTAAAATTCTGAGGACAGACTCTTTGAGTTGCTGCCGAGTGACAGCCCAGCACAGCTCACCCAGGCCAGCCTGTCCGGTGGTGGGAGAACCTTCACGCAGTAATAATGCTACGCCTTGGCTGGGCCTCCCAGTACCAGGGGGACAGCTTCTGGGTACTCTAGGTACTTGCTGAGTGCAATGAGGAAAGTGGATGGGACCCTGCTTTACCCCAAAACAGCCAGCGAGCCTCTTTACCCCACCTGCGTCTGCACCCCTTTTCGGTTTGACTGACAAACCACCCAGAGGGTTTTAATTAGGACTTGGGGAGCCCTGGAAAGTTTCAGGAGGCAATGAAACTTCATTTTGACCTTGAACATCAGTAGAACTCAGAGACATAGAAGAGGGAAGTGAGGACCCTGGGGCAGATGGGGACAAAGGGACTTTGAAAGGCACAGAGGTGAAACCTGGCCCTACTTCTCTGACTCCGCAGAAGCCTGGCTGAGGGGAAGTGAAGAATCACAGCCCAAACAGCTGGCTGTTGGTCACCCTGACTCTCAAAATTGGGTCATGGTCTTCAGCGTCACCCCCATGCTGTTCCCATCAGGGCTCTCTGTGTCTTTGCCCAGTTCCTTATTCAGCCTTGCTCTCCATCACGCTGCCTCATGCTCCGAACCATCCTCCTAATGAATACGTGCCAGGTCCGGGAAGCTGACAAACTTCAGTACAAAGAAACAAATAATACAAGCAGGGTGAAGAGCCGAACAAAATAAAGATAGTAGGGGGTGTGTTTGAGTGAACGGCATTGTGGACGGGCACATTTCAGAGACATTTTGGAAAGGGGAAACCTGATGTGTTAATTAGGAGTCTATTTCCATAATGAGACTGCGCGGGGGAAGGTAATAAAAGAAACAAATGGGCAGTGGAGGGGACCGTGAGAGCCGAGTGGAGTGTTCCGTAGCAGAGAGGAGGGGTTGGTTATTCTCTCTTGTTTTATGTGTGTCTGTGGTCTGTTGGCTCCCTAAGACAGGGGACTGCCCCTTTTGTGTTTTGTAATCGCCGTGAATAAAGAGCTTCGGGTATAAATAACACTGTGGTTTCTGCCCCCAACAGGAAGTACAGCAGCCCTACCAGCTCCAGCCGCTGGTGGGGTTTGGCTTTTCAGGGCAGTTTCAAGGGAACTGTGTCATGTTGAGAAGGGACCAGCATGGTGAGTTAAAAACAAGAGGAAGTCTCCAGAGGTGAGAGGTGCAGAGCAGCCAGTAAGAAGAAAGGGGGCTTGCTGGGGGAGGGGGTGCTGGGGGAGGAAGCAAAAGCACTTCCTCAGCTTTAGATGGTCAGGCTTGGGGGACTCCATATACAGCCAGGCTCCACTCTGCCACTTGCTGGAGCCGTGGTCAGGTCTTCCACTGGGTACTGGTGGGCTGAGAAAAGACAGTCTCTCTTCCAGACTGCAGCCAGATTAATTTTCCAAAAGCACAGCTTTGAACATGCCTGTTTCAAACATACTGTTTCGAACTGGCAATGGCCTCCAGCTGCCTGGCAAAGCGGTTGCTGTGGGATTGGTGGAGATTGGGACTCTGCGGAGCTTCAAGTGAGTCTGCAATGAACCTTCTCAATCACACTTCCGTCTCATGGAGGAAGGGCGCTACCGGTTGCTGTGTTGCTGGGCTTCTCAGAATGTCCACAGAAGTCACTTGGGAAAGAGCTCTCTGTGAATGCCGATTTTCCAGACTGTTAAAGAGCCGGTTGAGTGGAAAGCTCTCCACTTTCTGACTGTGCTGTGTTGATCATATTTCTTAATTTTTGTAGGACGCAGATGCCTGCCTGTAATACAGAGCATTGTGGTATCTGCTGTATCTTGACCAGTAGTTGGTGCCTGGTTATTTTTATTCTTGTATTATGATATCACTGTCATCAGCACTTAAATCTAGGAAAGAAAAGAAATTAACTTGAGAATATGATTACTGAGTGCCAGAAGTTACTCTGGAGTCTAGTGTGGAGGAACGCACATACACACGCACACATGCACACACACACACACACACACACACACACACCCCACTCCACTCCACAGAGGCTTCTGCCCCGTTAAATGGGTTATGCACAGGGAGGAAGGGCCTTTAGAACCTGAGAGTACTTGTAACATCTAGCTGTCTTCTCCTAGACTGTCTGGACCCAACACTGGGCACCTATCCAGCTCAGGCCAGCTGGAGAGGGTGGATAAATCTTCCCAGTTCAGCCAGTGGTCAGCGTGTTGATTTTGAGAAGAATTTGTGCTCTCATGAGGCCAGTGGCAATAGCGTAGGAGCAGGAGGCATAGCAGGAGGCATACCTCCACAGTGCCACCCAGCAATCTGAATTCTTTTCAGAACTCTCTCTCTCTCTCTCTCTCTGTGTGTGTGTGTGTGTGTGTGTGTGTGTGAATCTGTAATTTTAAAAAAAAAGATTATTTTTTAACTTACGTATATGTTTCTTGTGTCGATGTATGTTTGCGCACCACATGCCTGCAGTGCCCAGAGAGGCCAGAAGAGGGCATCAGAGCCCCTAGGACTAGTGTTACAGATGATGATTCGCTACATTGTGGGTGCTGGGACTCAAACCCTGGTCCTCTGAAGAGCAGCCAGTGCTCTGAACTCCTGAGCCATTCCTCCAGCCCAGAAGCTGAGATTCATAACTTCGCTGCAGGAAATAACTTCAGAATGTGTTGTTACCAGGGCGATTGAGGTTTCCTTTTGGGTTCTTAGTCTTAATAAAAGAATTGAGAAAGAGACTCTGAAGGAATCTTATGGTCAATTTTATTAGAATCTGGAAGAAAAACAGCAGAGCAGGTAAGCTGTAGGTCTTGGTAGCTGCTGGGAGAAGGAGGAGGAGGAGGAAGAAGAAGAAGAGGAGGAAGAAGAAGAAGATGAAGAAGGAGGAGGAGGAGGAGGAAAGTCATGCCTCCTTGAATCAGGGTCCAAGAGAGAGTGTGGGCAGCGATGGAGGTCATCAGCAAGCAGCTGCAAGGCTGAGGGTGGGGCTTCAGAGAGCAAATGAGACACACAAAACCCAATGATGAACAGCATCACCGGTGAGACCATAATAGAGATCCAATCAGCCTGCCAGGAGGGATGGTGGTGTCCAGACTGGAGTTTGGGTCACTCCCTCAGCTACAGTTCCCCAGGAGGCGTGGTCATTTAGTGAAAGGTGAGAGCACAGGAAGTCAGCACTCTCTTCTGGCAGTCCAGGCCGCCAGTCAGGACAGAACCAAGGACATTTCCAGGCCTAGAATTAGAGCTACTCAGCCAAGCACGGTGGTTCACTGAATAGCAGTATAACGACTGGCTTATGCATTAAGAGGTTGGCCAAGAAACAGACAGCAGGACTCCTGGTGTACCAGGGATCCATGCACAAGACTTTACAGCAACCGCCTGTAGAAATAGAAAACTTCCACCTTGTAAAGGCAATGTCTTGAGTTTCAAATCCACCTCTGTGTGGCAGTGAATGAACCCGGTGCCCTTTGGGGTGTCCCTCTTTATAGCTTCCAACATGAAGAGGTTCTGCTTGATGATCTATGAGGTGCCTTCTGGGTCTCACACCTGAATTTAGCAAATGTACAAACTTAGCAATAACGAAAGGCCCTGAATGCTTGTATCTCTCCCGGGCTCACGTGTTGAAACTGAATCACCACTGTGTTGGCAGCACAAGAGCTAGGAGTCATAAGAGCCGATGGGTGATGTAGTTGTCCTTATGACAGAATCCCCAGAAACCTGCCTTGTCCTTTCTGCCTTGAGAGAACACAATGAGAAAGAGGGCATCTACGAGCTAGGAAGAGCTCGTAGTCTCCCAGTGCAGCAATTGCTTCTATGAGCAAAAGATTTTAACTGGGATGTGGTGTGATCTGCTCTGTGTGTCATAGGCAAGGTGACAGCAGAAGAGGGGAGAACGGCAAAGGCGAGGCCCTGAGAATGAGCCGAAGGGACTGGAGACATCTCTCCAGCTGAGTGCTTGTAGCTCCTGCAGAGAACCTGAGTTCCGTTCCCAACAGCTCACAGCGCCCTCTTCTGGCCTCTATGGGCATCTGCATAGACATGTGTTTATAAACAGACACATACAGAGAGACACATAGATAAAAATAAAATAAATCTTAAAAACAAAGAGAGAGAATAAAGTTGAGCTACATCATATCTTCTTAGAGGGCAAAATAAATGTACAGCCTAGTGTCTGAGTTTACTTTCATTAAAAGATGACTGGCCTGGTCATTTATTAGTGGGATTCTATCATATAAACATGGTCTTTTAAAAAGCCAGAATGAGACCAGTTATGGTGGCACACCTTTAAGCCTAATACTCCAAAGGCAGAGGCAGGAAGATCTCTGTGAGTTTGAGACCAACCTGGTCTATCTAGGGTTTTCAGATCAGTGCTATATATTGAGAACCTCTCAAAAGAAAAAAATAATAGGACAGGGTCAGCAAGGTAGCTCAGTGGGAAAAACACTTGGTGTGCAAACCTGATAACCTGAGTTCAACCCCCAGAACCCAAAGAAGGAAAGAACGGACTGACTCCACAATGGTGTCTCTTGGCCTCCGCAAATCATACAGCACGCATGTGTATCAGCACACTCCTGCCCACACATGCACATATTCTACGCACAATAAAATTATTCTAAACTTCCAAAAAATCTTACCATAAGAGCCATTAACAAATCAAACCAGTATGCTGACTCTAGTTCCCAAAATATGACCCGAATGAGGAGACAGGCTTCGTCCCTTACTCTGAACGGAGAAGGGAGCTGTGATGTAGCTGAAGGTACTTGGCACTCGGGACCAGAAGAAGCCATCATTCATATAACAGGCGAGCCTAATGAAGGACCGTCTGAAACCAAATTCCATCAATGTATGGTGTCAAGCAACTTGTTATTTTAAGTGGTTTAGACAGACATTTGCATACACAGGCGAGCACATTCCTTGACTAAAGCCCATTATATAGCCCCACTTATCCCTGGAGGTGATAAACAGTGACAGATGCAGAACTGGGTTCGTCAAGGGTTCTCAGTGTGTGCACCTATATACAGACCAAGAAGAAAAGACACACTCGTTAGGGATAATGACTGCCCTTCCACTCCACTTACCTCTTATGAATTATTTCAGCACTCGACTCGAAATCAAGAAAAGCATATCATATTTCCTAACTCAGGCTATCAGTAAGTACCAGGAGAGCTAATATTCATGGTGACTATGCCGATGTGCTGGGGCCAAGGAGCTGCTCTGCTGCAGTAATAGAAGCAAAAGATTCTATTTGCTCTCCCACACCTGTTAAAGACATTTCATCCATCTATCCATCCATCCAGTCAGTCAGTCAGTAAAGAATTTGTTTGTTTGTTTGTTTGGTGGGGGAAGTGAATGGCAGTGTGGTGTATGTACCTGTGTGTATCCAAGTATGATCACCCAAGAGGACCATCAGGGGTCTTCCTCTAAAATCCCCCTATCTCATTCCCTTGAGAGGGGGGTTTCTTGCTGAACCTGGAGCAAGACTGGAAGCTAATGAACCCCGTCTATCCTCCTGATTCTGTCTACCACAGCACTGGGTTTACAGGCACATACGCCATTTCTGACTTTTTACAGGAGTGCTTGAAATCTGAACTTGGGTATTGTAAGCAAGGGCTCTTATCTTCTGAGCCATCTCTCCAGCCCTCGGCCAACATTTTAAAGCTCCATCCATGCCTATGTTTTGAATATCAACAGTGGGGTTTAGTGTGAAGTATAATCTTATCCTCCAATGGCTCACAAGTAACTGAGAAGTTGGACGTTTTTTACAAGATGGTTTTTATGTGTAGCCCTAGCTGTCCTGGAACTTACTTTGCAGACCAGGCTGGCCTTGAACTCAAATATATATGCCTGCCTTTGCCTCCTGATTTCTGAGGCTAAAGATGTGTGCCACCAACCCCCACTAAAAACTTGAACTTCTCAATGATGCTTTAACAAAAAAAAAAGGAAAGAAAACTCTCATTTGCATTGCATTGATCTCCATCTCTTCTCAGTTCTAAGGGACAGTGGAAACTCTGAAGCCAAAATGTGCAGGCCTTAAATACCAGTTGGGCCATGCCAAGTGTCAACCCTTGGCAAGTTATCTTTGACTAGAAGAAGCCCCAAGTTTCTTGTCAAGTTAAAATCCCAAACGAACCCACCTCATGTCACTGTCGTGAATAGTAAATAGTTTGTGAAGGGCCTGGATTAAACCCTGCAGATGTGAAGGGCTCCATCGGTTTTTATTTTTCTTGTCATAAATGCCTAATTGTTAAGCTTAGGGATCGTGTTTTTCCATGCTGACATGGGCAGGGAAACACTCTCAGTGATAGAGATTCACAGGTAGATACAGTCTACCAGGTTGGTAGGAGCTGAATATAGAGATAAACTATAAGCAAACTGATACTCTCCAGTCTACAGTCCAACTGTAGGAAGTCTACCAGCTTCCTACGGTCACATAGCACAGTTCCACTCATAGGCTGGACCAGGATGCATCTGTTACTCGCAGTTCATGTGGATTAGGGATTAGAGTGTGATTTAGCTATGGCCTGTGCCTTGGGTTGCTCACAGGCTACAATTGTAGCATTTTGGATATGGTAGCCAAAGAGACTACATCACCTATTTTTGTTTCCTATTCTGGTTCTCCTATCCCCTTAGCCAAGTTTGCCTAGCTTGCTTGGTAAACTATAGGAACACAAAAACTCTATTTAAAGTCTGTCTCAGGGGCCCCGCCCACAACAGATAATGCCATATGTCACTAGGAATCTGACTTTAAAGAAGAAATTCAAGATTTTGCTTATTTGCTAACAAAGTGGTAATAGGATCCATCCCTGGTAGTTGGTGGAATTTTGTAGCTTTTTAAAAAAATTATTAGAAGTATGTCTTATCTTTATTTTATATAAAAGTTTTACATAATAACCTAATTTTCCTAAATATAAAAACATATATGGCAATATTTGATTAGTACTATAAGATAAAACATCAGCAAAGGAGTCTTTGCACACGCCACTGGCATTCTTTATCTGTCTCATTAGTTACTAGAACTTCCATGCTTCGAAGGCTGAATTAGTAGAGACTGGAGAGATGGCTCAACAGTTAAGAGCACTCACTGCTCTTGAAGAGAACAGGAGTTCAGTCCCCAGCACCCATATCAGGGTGCCCACAATGGCCTGTAACTCCAGTTCCAGGGGATGTGATGTCCTCTTCTGGCCTCTGTGGGCACTGCATGCATGTAGTCCATGCACCTTCCTTCAAGCATTCATACATGCGCATACATATAAAGAATAAATGCATTTTAAGAATGTCTTAGGGTACAAATGGAACGGGACACTGGCCTTTGAGGATACAAAGACTGTCACTGAGCAGAGGTGCAGGCCCAGAGCATCACATATCCTGCATCAAGGTCTGTCATCTCCCAGCTAGCTATACACCCTCACCTGGTCACTGCTGTCACTCACAGGGAACGCTAGGGCAAGCAATGAGAATGCATCTCAGGCTGGGCACTGAAATCAGTTAGCTTGCTATTTTGGTGCAAACTGAAAATGGGTTGCTTCCAGATCGCGACCCCCTGGTAGGTAATCACCGAGACCAACGAAAGGAAATCATTTCAACAGAGCTTCAGGCTTGGCCCAACCACCCACTTTGTGTGCAGAAGGGAGCGATCCAGGTAAGACAATGGAGAGACTCGGGGGTAGGGGTAGGTGACTGCACGGGTCTGTCCTGGGACCAGAAGGAAGATGGAGAAACGAGATGCATATGGGGAAATACCCATAGGAGTGAGCACAAGGGAAGTGGTAGACACCGCATGGTAATCCCTGCCCAAGAGTGTTCATCACACAGAGATGCTCAGTAATTGGTAGGATGGCTCTGCTGAGAAGGGCTGGCTTCCTCAGTGACTCCGCACACGACCCAGCAGTAGCAGCTACAGTGATAGAAATGGAGACAGTGCCTAAACACACAACATGAGCTTCTTCTTGCCACACCGATTCAGATACTATCCTGCTGAATACCAGTACCCAAACTACTAACAGAAGCTACCTCTAATCTGTAGTGTAGTGCCATACCTTGATGAAAAACAAACAGAAACTTAGTGGCAGGTTGATTATATACGACCCCATTCACTCCAGAAAGGGGTGCATTTTTCTGACTGGACTGAACCAACTCTACATTTAGATAGAACTTTTCTCCTCCAGCATCTTGATTAGGTCCCTGATAACAGGCCTCAGCGTTTCTAACAGATATAGGATCTTGTCACTTTTAGCCCATTTTTGCTGAGTTATGAGTGGCATGAGAATTTGAGATTCCCTGGTCATACAACATACCATACGACTTGGCAGCTTCTAGACTAATAGATCGTGGCCACAATCTATTACCATGTATGGAGGTACAGATGCCAAGTTAGAAATGACACACAATGACAGTGGGCATATGGAAAAGTTTGGAGTCATAGCTGAGCTGGAGAAAGCCTATAATCTTCTGAGGAGAACTTAGTGGGACATTCTAATAAGAATTTGGAAGATCAGAATGCTGAGATCAATGCAGATAGCATAAGCCTGGCCCATGAGGTTTCAGAGGGAAACAAGGACTCTTTGGGAACTGAACTAGAGGTGATTTATTTTACATTCTGGCAAAGAACCCAGCTGCACTCTACCTGTGACCTGAAAACTTGAACTGAATTCAAAGGCAGTGAAAGAAGAAAATATGAGACAGCCTAGCATCAGGCTGTGGCATGGCTACTGGTCACAGCATTGATCCATATTTTCAAGGGCAGAGAGCAGCCAAATAGGTCAGATATAAAATGCCATTTGGTGAGGAAGGGAGTATGAATAGGTTTAAAGGTACAGTCAAGGAGTCCTCAGAGGAAGTAAACATAATTGTTTAAGAGAAACCCTCAGGGTATAAGATAATAGAGAGAAGACACACTAAGGACAAGACCCCATAGAAAGTGCCAACCTTAGGCAAAGCAGACTTATTTGAAAAGAAGGAATGTGGAATGAGAATGTACCAATGTGGCTTCCTGCTTGAAATAATTGCCTAAGGAGACATTTTCCAAGATCAACTTCCAAGGTGCTGTAGGCAACTTTAACTGTGGTAGAAGGGGGCTAAGCTACAGTTACTGGGGTCTAGAGGCTTGTGCCAAGGTTCTAGACGGCTGTTACGGCCAAGTAATACATTTCAGGCCTGGATCTTCTACAAAGAAACCTCTAGAGACCACTGCATAAGTTGTGAAGGTGAAGTTTAAGTTGCAATGGAGAACCTAACATGCTCAAGATGTCAGGACAGTCGGATGTCTGCCCAGAAAGGTTGCAGGCATGGAGTGTAACTGGCCTGAGAGAGGTTGTATGTGATGCAGACAGTACAACTGGAGGGATGGGCTGGTCAGACTCATTAGACCCCAGATAATGCTGCCAAGAGTCCCAGATGCTGGACATGGAGCTGCAGGATTTGATGTTTTCTTTGTTGGTTTTCAGTCTTGCTTTTGGCCGACCTTTACTTACGGTGCCCTCCTTCCTTCCTTCTGGAATGTGAATGTTTATGCTCTGTCATTCTGTGTCAAAAGAATGGAACTTTTAAAAAAGTTTTTTTTTCATTTTTATTTTGTAGGATCTCATAGTTAAGATTGTTTTGTGTCTAAGAAGAGACTCTGGCTTTTTTTTTTTAAGGGTCTCACTATGTAACCCTGGCTAGCCTGAAAATTACTATGTAGACTAGGCTGGCCTGACCTAGAACTCATACAGATTTACTACCTGTCTTCGCCTCCAAAGTACAGGGATTAAAGGAGGATCTCCACTCTAGACCAAGAGGATGAAACTGTTAAGACTATAGAGACTGTGACGGTGGAATTACTGTATTTAGAATTTTGAGATGGTCATGAGCCTACAGGAGCTAGGGATGGGATATTATGGGCTATATTATCAATGTGTTTGGGTGTTGACAGGGTTGTAATTGTGATATTTAATCTTCATTGTCAGCCTGATTGTATTTAGACTCATCTCGTAGACACATCTCTGGGCTTGTCTGCAAGTGTACTTCCAGGGAGATTTAACTGAGCAAAACACATCCCGAATGTACGTGGCACCATCACATGGCCTAGAATCTCAGATAGAATCTCAGGAGGAAGGTGAGCATCTCTCTCTGCTCTCTGACTGCAAAGGCAATGTGGCTGCTGCTGCAGGCTCCCACTGCTCTGCCTTCCCCACCATGACCTGTCAAATCCCAAGTCTCAGGAAACCCTTCCTCCTTTATGTAAACAGAGGGTGGAGCTTTCATGTCCTGAACTAACTTCAAACTGTTTGGTCCATAGTTCAGGTTTATTACTAACTAGCTCTTACACTTAAATTAACCCATTTCTACTCATCTATGTATTGCCACATGGCCATGACTTTTACCACTGTGCTGGCATGTGTCTTGGGCAGCTACCTGAACCTCTCTCAACTCCATCCTTCCTCATCTGAGTCCTCTGTTTTATTGTTCCACCAAACCCTATCCTTCCTGCCTGGCTATTGGTCAAATAGCTTTATTATTAACCAATGGAAACAACACATAACTAATATGGTAGTTACAGACTAGGTGGTAGACTAGAGTGATGGTAGTTATCAGTTATTGCTTTGGTAGTAATAACTAATATGGTAGTTATAGACTAGGTGGTAGACTAGAGAGATGGTAGATATTGGTTATTGCTTTGGACTAGCTGTCGCATCAATGGCTATGGTTTATCTCACAAGATCTGTCACCAGTTAGAAACTTGAAGAAGTGGTGGCAATGTGGAGTGGACTTACCACAAGAAGAAGCATGTGGGGTGGGGGTAGATTGTAATGAGTGCTGTTGGTAGTCTGTCCCCATACTGCCAAGTGCCCCACCTCACCCTGCATGCTTTACTTTTCATGGCTCAGACTTCCAACTTCCGATAGAGAACTTCCTTTCTTTCTTTTATGAGAGTCACTTCATCCTGGCCCAGCCACGATCCCAAGATATCTATGCTCCCAACCTTCTCCAGGTAGGATGCAGCCAAAGAGCTTCAGGGATGGAGGTGGGGTTGGGGGTGGTAGAACTAACAGTGTCTGTGCACCAAGGGATACCCTTGCTGTGAAATTTATGCTTTGGATCAAGCTGCGGCTAGATCTTCACCTTAATAAATAGCTTGCACACACACATCCATGGCGACCCAACAGTCAGGTCCCTAGCAAAAAAAATAAATAAATAAAAATGAACGAATGAATGACTAAACAAACTTCGCGGACAGACATGGTTTGGTAGAAAACATTTTTTATATCCCACATAGTGTCTACCTCAGCATGGGATAACTACAGCAAGTCAGTGTTGGGTTTCAATTTTCTTTCTTTCCTAAGAAGTCAGATTTTCTTCTGGTTCTAGTAGTATTTTACAGACAGGGACATCTGCAAATTATCAGTGATACATCACAGTGTAAACCGCTTGTCCAAAGGTATTTTGGACCGTTCTGATTTCAAGTTCTCAATCCCCTTGTCAGACTTTGTTCCAGGCAGCATGTCCCAGTTGGTGTGAGGTATGCACGCATGGACAGCGGAGGAAATGGGGTCTAGCCAAGAAGCAGCCTGCGGAGGAAATCTGAGCAGTATAAAAAGGCAGAGACCTTGATGTGAAGCAAGACTGAACCTCTTGAGTATCCTTGCTCGTCCCACACAGCTGTTGGACCGTTGCAACCTTTATGTTAAAATGAGTTAACTAGCCTCTATATCACAGGATTTCCCCTGCCTCCTTTGGCTTTTCAAGACAGGGTTTCTCTGTGTAACATCCTTAACTGTGCTAGAACTAGCTCTTGTAGGCCAGGCTGGTTTTGAACTCACAGAGATCCGCCTCTCTCTCTGCCTCTCTGGTGCTGAGATTAAAGGAGTGCACCACCACCGCCCGCTCTATATCACAGGACTTTAAAACCTGAGAAGATGTATAGAAAGTGCTTTGCAAGGCTCCTGGTTGATGTCAAGACATGGATCCTTCTAGACCGGAAAGAACAGTGGGTTAAGGAGCCTGCCAGGGACTTTAAGGGACTTCTAGATCAAGCGAGGACAGGGGAGGAAGGAGGCTATTGAAACAATGGCGAAGTGTTTCCTCCCTGGGCACCGGCCACAATGCTCACGGGTCAAGGGGAGGTTGGACCTCACGTAGGCCGCGAGCGGGGTACCCCCGAATGAGAGAAGGAGCCCTGAGACCCTGGGCCACCACGTGGCCGCCCAGCCTTCCCCCAACCTCTTCTCTCCGCCAGGCTGAAGTAGGTGAAGGGTGGAAGCCCGGAGACCGCACCGCGGAGGCGGACGCCCGCTGCCGGTCTCCTAGCAACTCCAGCCCCGCCCCGCCCGGCCTGGAGCGCCGGCGCCTGGAAGCGGACCGGCAGGCCGCGGTTGCCA